TTGCCCGTTTGGTTTACTTTTTACGGTAAAACATGGCGCCCCCCTTGCCACTCGTGAGCTCTTGCTCGTGAGATGAAGAGCTAGCTAGAACGTTCCAGCGCTTTCACGTTTCTGTGTTTATAGAGGGAGAGAGCTGAATTTGAGCTCAGAAAGAAACTTTGTCTGTTACCTTTACGTTGATTTGGAGTCAGTTTAAAGGTAAGTGGGCAATAATACCCTTTGTTATAAGAGGCTAGCAGCAGGTTTTGCATTATTAGCAGAGCTGTATGTTTGTAGTAAAGTATGATCCTGGTATATAAACTGTGGGGCTTTACCTGGTACCACTGCTAGTACACTTAAATTAATCTGAGGTTATTTTGAAATATTCCTTTAGTTGTCTTGTTGATTTTTTTTCTTTTCTCCACTTTACCCTTTAGCTGTTAACACCATGTCAGAAGACAGGCAGACCAGGAGACATCCCCAGAACCTCCAAGGGGTCCTTCAGCTCGCAGTGGAGGCTGGATCCGCTGCAGAGGGTCCTGCCCCTCCTGAACCCATGTCAGAAGAGGTACGTACTTGTACCCTAAGCAGGATCAGGCCAGATGACCACACAAACTGTTGGGTGTCGACTTTGTAGCTCACACCAGGACACACATGCTTGTAGCATAGCTTCACAATGTGGCTTTGACAGAACTAAGGCTTAAATAAGTAGAATGAGCAACTAGTCAACTAAACGCCTTATTTGCATGAGGATATAATAATAATATAGTAGAGTAGATCCAAAAATGATAACAACAACAATAATAAATACTTTTGTTTTTACAGTAGCAACATGTGTTGCTCCGCTTTGCAAAACATCCCACCATAAACTATTGATATATCACATTTTCATAGTTTTCAGAGTGCTTTGAGAGACAAAAGTATAATACTGCAGTCAAACAGAAAGCCGGACATTGTGGCCAGAAATGAACAGGACAAAACTGGATCACAGAAAACTTTTAATTTAAGTAGTGAACAAGGTATAGAAATTATATCAATCAGAACTGCTGGCAGCCCCCCACCCCACTTAGTCCTCAGTATTTTGGTAGGAAGGGGATATCTTTGACAACACTTTTAAATTTGATAAGTAAATAAATGCCATTGCCATCAATGATGTTCTCTCTTAGCTTGATTTATCACAAATGTTTTTATTCAATTGTCAGCCAATAACTGATACTACTTAGGGGCTTGATATCTTAAACCTACAGTGCTATGTATACTGTTAATTTGCTGTAGATAGTTTTTCAGGCGTGCTACTTCCTCTTGTGTCCTCCCTTTGTGCAGTTTCCTCAAATTCAGGAAACCTTGCACACCATGCAGCTCTCTGGGAATGACCGTGTTGGCTCTAAAACACTGTTTCAAACTATTAAAAACTTTGACATTTTTTTTATTTCAATTAAAGAAATTGTAACAATGTTTAAAGATAAAATGTTAAACTGTTTTTTGCTAAGTTTTCTGTCTTGTGTAGACACAGCAATGCCCTTGTCTCTTAAGTTTGATGCCTTTTTTGTGCTTGAATGTCAAGTGGTTCAACAGACAAACAAAGAAGCATTCTTCTAAAAATGGTCAGGTAGAAGGACTGGACTGAAAGTCAGTTTTTAAAAAAAGAAGCCAATGTTGAAAGAAAAACTTTGAAAGACTTTTGGAAATCCTGGAGAGTTATTGCTCAACTATTGCTTAAAAATTTAAAGAAAGTCTTTCTTGGAAGTCCAATATAAAGAAATGAGGAGTGACTCAAGACTTTCGTACAGTAATATATAATTGCACATCACTTGAAATCTCATGTGTCTGAGTAAGACACTGATGTCCACATACGTTTTTTTTTTTTTTTTTCTTAATGCGTGCTTGGAGGTATCACATCAGAGAATTTGAATTCAGCATGACAAACTACTTCAGGCTCTTTTTTGTGCCTTTCTTCCAGAGGAAAACATGGCTGAGAGAAGCTCTTACAGAACTGTGCAAAGGGCAGATGGATGAAGTGGAGCAGATGAAGCAGTGCTTGGCTGTTCTGTGCAAAGAAGGAAGTGAAAGGGAGAGGGGTGGAGAGGAAGATAGGGAAGATGATGATGATGATGAGGACGATGAGCGGGAAACAGCCTTTGAGATGCTGTCCGAGCTGTGTGAGAATCTGGACAATGCCAGAGGTAATAAATGGTATTAGAGCAGAGGGCACGCTAAAGACAGCGTGTGTTCACTGTACGCTCACTGCATCCTGTCCTCTGCAGACCTGATGACCCTTGGTGGGCTGGAGTTGTGCGTCTCCCAGTATCTTAATCATGCTCAAAGTGGGTTGAGGTGGCGTGCTGCCCAGCTCATTGCCTCCTGTGCCCAGAACATGCCACAGCTGCAGTTCCACTTGCTTAGCATCGGGGCGCTGCCGAAGCTTCTGCAGCTGACAGATTCTGACCCAAACCCCACCGTCAGGGTGAAAGCTCTTTACGCTGTCTCATGTGAGTAGAGCCATAATGCACGCATGCTTCAAAACTGAGCTTCATGACAACAAGCCTGCAACCAATTGCTGCACATCAGGCATTTCACATACATGATCCAGAACCTCGGATTGTCCATGTGACAGTCTGCGAATTTTAGTGCGGTCAACAGTTGGTTCCCATAGTTGATGTTTTAGATGGACAGGCTATTCAACAGCTATTTTTAGTGGCCAGCCTCCCAACTGTATCGCCTGTGTTTATGATATTGTTATATCTCATGTTTCCTGTCAATTCAACTTTAAGCCTAAATTATCTGTTGCTTTCTTCTTTAGTGCCAAATGACACATGGCACCGTCTTTTTGTCCCAGCTCTGTGCTTCACAACCCTCAACAAAACTGTGTCCTGTCGTAATCATAGGTCTGGTTCGAGAGCAGGAGGCAGGTCTCCAGGCCTTCCTGTCCCACGATGGATTCTCAGTGCTGATGCGAGGCATGCAGTCAGAGAACGAGAAGCTCAGAACCAAGTCGGCTTTCCTGTTGCTCAATCTACTGATGTCGCATCCCGAACAGAAAGGTATGGATGGGAAGGACATTCAGACAGGATAGCGCTGTAAACCTGCACCAGTACCAATACAACACTTTGTAGCCTTTTATTAAGACACAACATGGTTTAATAATGTCTCTAAAAGCTTATAGAGACACCTTTTCTGTGGAAAATGAAGATGTTTTATTTGCAGCTTTGCTCTTCATCCATGATTAGTCGCCAATATGGCAAGTTCTGCAGTTAAAGGGTAAAATAACATAAAAAGTTTTTAAACGATTTTTTTTAGCAATTAAATCTCGTGTTAAAACTTTTATACTTTCTCCCTTTTAGTTTTATCCTTGCAGTATGTGTGTTTCTCACTGATCTTGCTACCTTTGTCCGGGGAAAACATGGAAAAACTATTTTAATCTTAACTACACATACATAGTAGACCATAACAAGAATAACTACAGCAGATTTTTTACTTTGGATATCTAATTGGTTTACTCTTTAAACATCTATCTAAAGTTTTTGCAAGCTTTCCTTAAAAAATGGCTTGACTCAATATAAACTCAGGCATATTCCTGATTATTTCCCCCCGCAGACACGCTTGTTGCCATGGGTATGGTACAGCAGCTGGTATCAGTTCTCCGTACACCGCATTCACCCGTCCATGAACATGTGCTTGGTGCCCTTTGCTGGTAAGAAACATTCATTATGATACTGAAAATCTGACATTATTTCATGGATGGTTTTAGTAACTGTACCCGTCCTTGTTACTGATGGTGGTGTAGTCTGGTCGAAGACTTTCCACAAGGGCTCAATGACTGCAGGAATCCTGCTCTGGGCCTGGAGGAATTACTCAGACAGAGATCCAAAGAGCTCCAAGGCAAAGAAGAAAGTCAGGTAATTCATGTGCCTGAGAATCAGATCGTAAAACTCGATAGAAATGTTGTGATTATGCTACAAAATTTCATTTCAGTCATGAAATGTGTTTTTTCCATTTAAAACTAGAGGTGATTGTGGTTAAAGGCTAACTAGTTGTAAACAATAAAGAGATATATGACTGCTTTTTTTTTTTTTTAAGTTTAAAAGACTGAAAATTTTAAAAAATAAGCTGAATCTTATTTTTCTGCCTCTTAAAGTCACATGTTTGTTTCCAACAGGAAGAACTTGATTTCTGTGAGCGACTCAGGGTTATGTGTTTCTCCAGGCAGCAGTCAGATGACACTGGGATGGATCGTTGATTTTCTAATTCTTTCTTTGTTTGCTTGTTGTTGTTGTTTTTTACCCTGACATGTTTTGGCATCAGTATGAAAAGATAACAGAACATTCATGAGCTGGGACATGTTTTTTGTTGTTGTTGTTGTTGTTGTTGTTTGGTCTGTTAAGACAGTTGCACATGATCCAGTACCTGGATTTCACTGTGTAAATAATTGTACTGTATATTGTAATGTATAAAACAACTATTTCAGTCCAATGTTTGCCATTCTTAATGTCTTAACTGTCATCCCAAGCATCTCCATTAACGGTAGTATGTATAGTACTCTATTTTAATTGGCAGAACACAAATGCTGAATTTAGTTAAATCTATTTTATTTTATTATAGTATGCTTTACTTTTTCATTTCCTGTCTCTTTTCAGTTTTTCTTGAAACAAAACTCCCAGTTGTTGACATAATATTTATTACTGTTAATAAAACATGGGATTGCGTGTATAAACATACAGTATAATGAGCAGTTCACATCATGCCACCATATGCACAATCTACATGTAAACATGCATGTCAAAGAAAATATTTTGATCATTAAATCACAGAATATAAATATTATAAACTGAAGTTTACTGAATGTTTTTCCATTTCATTTGGAAATAAATTCTTTCATTTTTAGAACATTGCAAATTGAATCTATTTCCCTTTCTTTGTTTCTTTCTTTTTTTCCTTTTCTTTTTTTAACCACTTACAACAAATATTTATGGAAATGGAGAGCTAATGTAGTACAAGCTTTTGGAGTACAACAGGGATACTGGTTAGGACCTCTTCCATTTTGAAAACTCATCCGTGTCCTCTACTGCTTGCATGTCACCCACAGCGATTAGAAGCTGTGCCAGATAATAGGTCACCATTACAACAGTATTACCGTGCTGCATTGGTGCCACCACCTTAAAAACTTGCAGAGACAGCATTGCATCAGATACCATGAAGCTCAGACTTCCCAAAAGTGTTGCTACGTTGCTAGTTCTAGCTGCTAATAGACCCATTAGAGTAATTAAGACAAAGTAGACTCCAACAGCTGGAGTTAGCACTTCAGAGTTTGGGTCCTTTTGCAGAAATGGAAATAAAAATGTGTAATAACCTCCTCCAACCATAAACAGGATCAGATAGAGAAAACGGCTCCAGCAGGAAGAGGAGTTTTTTGTGTAACGACTGGACAGGAAGGAAACTGAGTACAACAGATGAGCCACAGCAAATGCACCCATTCCTGAAACAGATATTGAGGACATAATGGGCATGTGATTTGCAATTTATGAATCCTGGAGTGTTAAATTTACTCTCTGAAAGTAACTATTACAAATACTTCTTACAATAATGAGGCATGTGCAAGCAATAGACCTTTCATAAAAGAAAAAAATGCTCAATTTTTTGAACTCATCCACCACCAGCGCTTACCATGCAGGAAAAGCTCAGGCCACACCAGGCAGCAGTCACCAACAGCAGAGAAGACTAGTCCTCCCACCACACCTAGGACACTCTGACCTCCATTCCAGCTCAGCACCACTGCAGCCAATAGGAGTACTGGTGCAGATTTGACACCTGCAGACATGATGGACGGGGGCGAAGCAGGAGTCCAAAGGTAGAAGTACAGAGCTGCAGACAAAAAGAAAGGCAAGAGAGACAGAAAGAGAGCACAGGACTGATAGAAATGGACGAAAAGAAAGAAAAGGGAGAGATGCATCAAGTTTTTGTACAGAAGTAGATTCAAGTTATGATTTCAAACATCTCCTTTCCATCTGGTTTCACTAAGCAAAGTGCTGCTAGAAATAAAGAAATACTGGCTGTAAATAGAGGTGAACTGTACCTTATTTCTCCTCTGCCGCCTGTGATAGGCGTGAGTCTCAAGGATGTCCATCTTCTCTCAAACAGCACTGCTGTGGGCAGACGTCTCAGAAGGGTAAAAGTGTCTTTACTGTCTTGTTTGCCAGCGATCCTCAGCTCCAACGATCCTCAGCTCCTGTACCCCTCGCCTTGAACCTCTGTCGTGTCTTTCAATCTGCCTGCGTTTCATGTCGATGAACTTTAGACCGATCCTCACTGTCTGATTGCGCTCTGATAATCAATTCGCTCCCTGTTTTGAGTTCTGCTGGTCAAATTGCTCACCCTTGACCTCACCAGCAGGATTACGTTGGTGACATCAGCACAGAAGGAGCAAAGTTGAACTGTGCAGGTGTTATCACTGTGAAATGTAAACTTTAATATCAGGAAACTGACAAAACCTGATGATTGTTGTTGTTGAGACTTTTTTATGTCTCAATGTTTCATAAAACAAATGTGTAAAAAAAAAAAAGTTCATTTTACAGGAAAGGATTTGATTCTTTGATAAACAGCTGTAAATTTGTTATAACAATACAATTTTTTTTGTGGCAACTGTTCAAAAAAATGTGGATGGTTATGAAAAACACGCTATGCCAAAGCCCCATCCAGTTTCCAGTGCTTCACATTTAAAGTAAAGGAAAGGGCTCGTTTGCTCATAGATACTGATGAATATGACACATTTCTTTTGTTTGTGATCAAAGAAAGTATGACACACATTCTGACATAGAAGAAGAATAAAATGCTTTGTATGTTGAATGATGTTCAGTGCTCGTCTTGACTGGATTTTGTTTTGAAAATTTCAAACAATTACATTTTTCTGAAGCTGAGATTTAAGTTCAACCAGATGGAGGAGGAGCCCTGCGTGTAATAATTTCACAGAACTGCAACAATGATTAACTACAGGCTACTCTGAGTCAAACTTCGTGCTTTGCCTGAACACAGTTCTTGCAGCTCTGGGCTGGTTATTGAAATTCAAGGTGTGGGACAACGCTGGAGGGGGTGTAAGTTTACTGGGTATATAGAGTAATAAATGCAGTAACTGTGCAAGAAGGGGTTAATATCAGGTAGGGCTTAAGGTCAATATAGACATGTATATGTGTGCATGTGTATTGGTTTGCTTTGCGACTGCACTCTGGGCTTTTATCTGCTTTGTTTGCTTCCTTTGTACAGCTATGGCGACCGATTCTTCCTCTTTAAGGATTGGAGTCGTAGGATTTGGACATCTAGGTCGGAATTCCCCTTTTAAATCCCAGGCAAACACTCTTTAAATTGCTGTATATTATTTCCTGACAGCATGTGCATGTGTGTGTATGTGTGTGCAATTTAGGTCAGTACCTAGTGGAGAGGATCAATAAAGATGGACCTGCCCTCGGTTTGACTCTGGGTTTTGTCTGGAACAGGAATTCTGGCAAGCTCAGTGGTTTAGTCCCCTCTGAACTCATACTCGGGGATCTATCGTCCTTTGCAGAAAGGTGCAAACACGTGCATAAGCATTAAAAACCCACGTGCACACAGCATGATTGTTCTGTGCACACGCGTTTTTATGTATTAAATCAGGAACGCTATAAACGTACTGTATTTATCTTCGGGAATTTCCCTTCTGAACTTTGAAGAATAATCATTGTGTGTTTTGCAGGCGATGCGATGTGATTGTTGAGGTGTGCCATCCTCAAATAGTTAAAGAATTTGGGCTCCAGTTTCTGTCTCAGTCTCATTTCATGGTGAGCTACTTCTGATTTTGCTATTTCAGTGAAACAGCTGGTACATTTCTTTGTTTGTTTTTTTTGATAGATTCTTCCAATGTTATATTTTATTTATAGTACTTGACAGATTTTATTTTAATTGACTGATACAGTTTGATTTAAATCTGTCATTTTTATGATTTCATACCATTAAATCATTATCAGGCTGAACCACTGATACGAGGCAGAATGGGTCCATCCTTTCATGTTGTTTACAACAAAATTGGACCCTACCATCTGAATGTCACAGCAGAAATCAAACCTCATCTGACCAGGCAGCATCTTCTTTTGACTAATTTTGGTGAATATGTTCAAACTGTGGCCTCAGTTTCCTGTTCTTAGTTGACAGGGTGTGATCTTCCGCAGCTGTAGCCTGTCTGCTTCAAAGCTGTGCATTGAGAGATGCTCTTCTGCATATCTTGGTTTTAATGAGTGGTCAGCTGAGGTACTGTTGCCTTAAGGTACTGTGAGTGTACATAAAATGGACAGAATATCATGTCATTCAACTGTAAACAATCGCCATCTCGGTCCAGCTGAAGGTTATTAAATGTTCTCCTCCTTGGAGAAAAGTCCTGCACTGTCCTCTTCACTGACCCCTCAAAAGTATTTGACTGTTAAGCACAATTCTTTCTCACAAACTACTCATTCCTCACATAGAGAAACAAACTGTTAATGTTAATCATAACTTTTACTCAACCATCAGAAATAGGATGGCAGAGAGAGCATCTGGCTATTTAAATTGGCTATTTGCTTTGCAAATAAGGAAAATGCTCATTTCTATACTTCAATGTTCACTTTTTTGCAGACAACAGTCTTTCATATGCTTCAGGATTAACCCCAGCAAAGTCTTAATTCACCCTCATCTGTTTTTGATACTTTCCAATTAACACTTCTCAGTCACAGACTGGTTTTAAATGCATAAAAGACCAAGCACATGGTATCTCCACTGCAGCTGTGACTATGAAGCATTCTGCAAATCACATTTTAAATATATCTCCACATTAACATTTGAAGAGTCTCGCATGTACACGGGCGTTTGGTTTGATAGCGTTTGCTTTGTAGATTTAAATTCAATAACAGGTTCAAAATTCAGTGTCGACAGACGGTCATCCTAACCCACAAACACTTGAGAAGTCAACGACACTTCATCATTTGTTTTGCACCTTTGTTTTTCGTTTTTTTCCTCCTCTAGGTGGGCTCTCCATCTGCCCTCGCTGATCCTGATCTGAACCAGAAGTTGAGTCAGGCTGCTCAGAAGTATGGCAGGACTCTCTACGTCCCCAGTGGTGCATTATGGGGAGGCCAGGACATCCAGAGGCTGAATGACAGTGGGAAAATAAAGGTAAAACAAGGATAGTCCAGTGTTTAAAACCATGGAAATGAACATAAGTGATTTAATGTTGCTTTTTCCTTTCATGGTTTATTTTTAGGCTTTGTTCATCAGAATGTCCAAGCATCCCTCCTGCTTTCGGCTGACAGGAGACGTCCTCACTGACTGGACGGAGGGAGAAGGCAGGCGTGTTTTGTTCAGAGGCTCCGTTGCAGAGTTGTGCCCACTCGCTCCTAACAATGTGAACACCATGGCGGCAGCAGCAGTGGCAGCAGGGACACTGGGCTTCACTGGTGTCCAGGGAGAGATTGTGTCAGATACAGCGTGAGTGCTTCTAAAAGTCGGATTGTTTGTTTGAAACCATCCTGCCTGCATCTTCCACCTTCATGTACCTTCATGCCGCAGGTTAAGAGACTACCATGTGGTGGAAGTGGAGGTGACTGGGCCTGATGGTTTCTCAGTACACACAGTGAGGAGGAATCCAGCCAAACTCGGGGCTGTTACTGGCAGCGCAACTTACAGCTCTTTCTGGAATAGTTTACTCAGTAAGTCCTAAATGACTGCCAAACACTTTCTCAGTGAATCTGATGTAAAGCACTCTGTGTCACCCTTTTAAGGTATCTATCATGTCGACACAAACACCTCCAAATTGTACTTAAGCACAGCAAACTCCTTAAAGTAGTTATAAACAGGGATGAAATGCTCAGAGCTATTTTTAGACCTGGTGCAGTGGGCCTTGTGTTCCTCGTGGTGCAAGACAATGCCTGACCTCATGTGTGCAGAGCGTGCAGGCAGTTCCTGGATGATGAAAGCGGTGGCGATTTCATTTTTTGTTGTAATTTTAAATTCAGGCTCCAAATGATTAATGGCTGGTTTCCGGTGACCGTTGTTGAATCATTTCGCTCTCACTCAATTACTCATATTAATATCTTATGTGTGGTTTAAGTGTTTCATTAATTTTTTTCCATAACACACACACACACACACACACACACACACAACACTATTAGAATGGTGAGTGCTCATATTGAAGTATAAAACTGTAAAAGTATTCAGTTTTACAGTTTTTTCTATGGCTTTTTATGACGCTAGTAAATGCACATATATTTATTATAGTCATCTCCAGCACATGCACCATGATAATAAAGGATTTCAAACCCATGATGACACCTGCTGCTCAAAGCTTTCCTTTCCAAGAGGAAAAGAAAGAAAGAAAACTGGCTCACAGATGCCCTTAAAGGCCTTAAAGGAAGTTTCTCTTAGTTTATGAACTTGGGAGCTGCACCGAGGCCAAACATAAGATATATGGGGATTATATTAAGTGTGATAGCATCATAGGTCCTCTTTGAGTGTGGAGTACGGTGTGTATCAGTATGTTTTTCATGTGAAGACTCAGATTTTTACATTCTTGTTTTTCTCAGTTTGCAAAGGTCACGGGGGCAGAGTTTACCTGTGCTGAAACAGCCAAGCACTTTGGAGGATTACCTACAACGGAAGAAGAGGATTCACTGCAACATTTCAGCTGATCTGAATGATTTATGAAGGAGATGCTGTGTAGATAAGATCAGTATGTTACAAAGAAGCAAATCTTTGGATATATTTGTTCCAATAAACTGCACAAACACAATGAAAGAAGAGCCCGTTACTGTTTATAAAACACCAAACAGGTGTATATAGATATTTAAATTTTATTATATGTTCATCTGGTGCAAGATTGTGAGAAATGGAGTGATAGTGACAGTATACGGCTGGCAAAACCATTTCCTTTTTTCCAAAACAAATACTCAAGACATACAGTAGCTTGTTTTTCAGCCCTTTCTCTCTGTCAGGTCTTCTACCTGTAAACACAGTTTCCATCTTAGGACACAGTACCCTTTCCCCTCTGTCTTACCTCTTTTCATTTCACAAATAAATACTTGCTGAAACAGGCGAACCAAGGAATAATCTCCACACACAAGCGCGCACAAACACAGCAGGAGTACAGTGGACACACTGTGACACTGTAAGGCACAGAAACAAAATGAGAACACACTCACACACAAGGCGATACCATTCTCCGAACGAGAGCGTTTTCAGCATTATCAGTGTGTGCTCTTCATTTTGTTTCTATTTTGAGAGGTTATGCAAAAAACAAGGCGCGTGAAAGAAAGAAAAGACAAAAAATGCTACAAAAAGGTAGAAAGTCAAGTGTGAAGCACTGTATGGTTGTCACATCATGTGGGGCACGAGTGAAAACGACAAAAAGAACAGATGCTCTTTCTGGCTCTTAATGCATAATATTGCTATGTGGGCTTTTTCACAGGAAGCTTCCCGTTTTGAACTTGTAGAGATGGTAAGCTGGTAAAAAAAAAGGAGAGATAAGCTGTTCTCCCAGCCCTGACCTACGTTTGAATCAAGTATAAAATCCGATTCCACAGTTTGCTGTTAATATTAACGATCCTCTGTTAGATCCACGTTACTCACTGTTAGTATTCTACAAAAATCCAGCAATCCTGATTTGTTTTCCTATGTGTTGATCTGTCAGTTAACCTTTTTCCTTTTAAGTTTCTGCATTTACTCCACAAAGCAAACTACCGGTCACACTGCTGGTGTAACTGAAACAATACCAAAATATATCAAACTGACAGATACTGTTTTTAAAAATTCTGAGGTACGCACAGGTTGGGAAGACACTGACAGTAATGCATTTTGTCACAACATGCCAATATTAAATTCGTCACACGCGTTCACGCAGCCACAGTCGTCTACACGGACAACTTGAACCACAGATAAGAGTTTCACTAGTGAGGTTTAGCAGTAGTGCGTCGGTCTCAGTTTTTCTCGCTCGTCACCTCGTCGCCATTCCCGTTGGCCCCGATGATGGCGATGGACTTGTTTTTCATAGGCAGCATGTAGGGCTGGCGGATGTTCACCTTGTCCTTTTCGGCCTCCAGGTCCTCGTCGTAGCGCTCGTCATCTTCGTTGTCTTCAGCCTCGCTGTGGTGCGGGGAGGAGTGGCGGGACAGGGCTGGAGATGGTGGCACTGAGGCTGGTCGGGGGTAACGGAAACCGGCGGTCTGAGGACAGGAGTGAAAGTATTAAAAACATAAACAGGAAGAGGACGCTTCAAAAAAAATAAAAAAAACCTCACATTTGTTTTAAATACTGTGTCTATTAAAAAAAAATACAAGTTAACTTACTTGGGCTGTATCCTGAGGTTCATATATGAAGGTGTCAGGGAAGGCTTTAGCCAGGGCCATGTGGCGGGCAGCTATATAATACTAATGCAGAAAAGAAGGAGAAATTAAAAATAAATAAATAAATAAATAAATAATTGTTGTAAAGATTTTATCTGTGAGACTCGTTGTTGCAAATAGTAGAGAAATACACAAGAGACTCCAAAGAAGGAGTTTCTTTCAATAACTAAAGAACTTTAAGTAAAATCTAGAGCAAGGATCTGATCTGATGTTAGATGGTGGGCAACACACAGCCCACTGAGCTCAAGAAGGCCGACGAGTGAAACTCTCCTGTCTGTCAGTCTAAAGAACTTTAAATACACATTTAACTCCTGAGACATAAGAAAGAGAAGTGCAATTTCAACAATACATCTCGTGATAAACAAAAGCCTGTCAGCGCGTCTCTTTGGATTAAACCATAAGATATAAATGTGCAAAATCACAGAAAAAGTTCTGTTCATTCATTGTGTAGACTGTTCAGTTTTGTTTTTTTAAATGTGAACCAAACGTAGAAGCATACATTTCTATAGTAGATAGTTCCTTTTTTTTTT